AATTCCAATCCCAATCCAAAAATCCTATATACACTCAGATTCTCCTTCAGATATTCAGGGATACCACTCTGATGTTAGTCTGCGTGTAAGTGAATAAAATCTGGTCTTTCCCAGAGCCTTGGTCTCCAGCTGTTGCCTCCTGTGGCCACTAGCTAACAACACTCCGCACCTTCACCTGAACCACCCTTTTTCCCCCCTTACTGCTCCAGCCCCACCAGCCTTGCCTTATCCTGCCAGCCTCACCTCAGGGACAGTGCAATGGCCACAACTGTTTCCTCTGCCAACCTCAGTGCTCTTCCAACCCACACATCTCTGGGGCGAAAACTCTCACTTAACCAATGACACCCTCCCCCCATCTGCTCTACTAGGAATGCCAAGGAGCTCCTCAATTTCTCCTGCTTGGGATGTAAGAACAAAGACTTCCAGGTACCTGATAGTGACTGAAACCTACGGAGCTATGGTTTTAGAAAGTCATTCAACAGGGAGAAGATTAAGAAAGAGCAGTTAGGGAACATGCCTACAACTCCTGCACTCAGGGAGGCAAGGCAGGAAGACTGCAAATACAAGCTCAGCCTGGGCAATTCAGTGATTTAGCAAGACCCTGTCTCAAAATTTAAGAATTGCCCAATGTGGTGGTGCACACCTATAACATCTCAGCACTTGGGAGCCTGAGGCAGGAGGATCACCACATAAATCCAAGGCCAACCTGGACTACATAGGCAGCTCAAGGCCAGCCTACACTGCAAAGTGAGATGCTTCTCAAAAAACAAAATAAAAACGAACTTTTTTGAAGGGCTGGGGTACAGCTTAGTCCAAAGGTCCTAGGTTCAATCGTCCTTACCAAGGGGTAAAAGTATTTGGGATTACAGAACTAGGAGGCAGTATGCAGCCAAAGAAAAGTCCACAGAGCACAAGGTAGCACAGTGAGCACACGGTAGCAAAACAGGCCGCAGGTGAAATGAGGACATTGCTATCAGCAATCTTCATGGTATCATCTTTTCTCTGTTCTTCTCTCAGGCTTTCTCTTTTGGTGGTTACAAGAATCGAGGTGACCTGGGACTGAAATACCTAATTCTTCCCACAGGCAGTAACTGAAAAGTTTTAAGGATAACCTGTTAAATGTCAGCAGGTGCACGGTACTATTTTTTAATTTTGCCTTTAATATGTTGAGTACCTGGTATGTTTTCTATTTTTATAATGCTTATATGTCAGATTCTACATAAATAAGTAGAACGTTAACAACTCTAGAAGATTAAGGCTTAGTTGTAAACTACTTTTTTAGTTTTTGAGACTTGGTCTCACTCTGTTGCTCAGTCTACCTATCAAATAAAAATCTTCCTACCTCAGTCTCCCAGGGTAGCTGGGATTACAGACATATGCCACAACACCTAGCTTTCAAACAATACTTCTTTGGGACACAGGAGTTCAGGAGTTCTGTTGGCCTTGAACTCGAAGTAATTCACCTGCCTTAGCCTCCCAAAATGCTGGGATTACAGGCTTGTGCCGTCACACCTGGTGCAAATAACACTTTTAAATCATAACCCTTCTTGAGCTGGAGACAAAGCTCAGCAGCACAGCACCTGCCTGGCAAGCGCAAGGTCCTGAGTTTGATTTCCAGTACCAAAAATAAAAAAATAAATAAATGATAACCCTTCTCAGTTTACAAATCCCTTTTGTATCTATTTTTCTCATTCAACTATCTTTCATGCTAAAAGGTATTAACCTCCTTTACAGTGCTTCACTGGTGCTGGGCTGTAGCTCAGGGCTAGGATGCTTACCTATCATGTTCAAGGTCATAGGTGGCCCAACTCCTTTTTTTTTTTTCAATCGGTACCGAGGATCGAACTCACAACCGCCTGCTTGCAAAGCAGGTGCTTATGCCACTGAGCTAAATCCCCAGCCCCTGGTTGCCCAACTCTTAAAAAAAAAAAATACCACCCGGATTAAACTCAGCACTGTGGTGTACACCTGAAATCTCAGCTGCGCTAGCGGTTGAGACAGGAGAGTTCAAATTCAAGGCCAGTCTAAATAACTAATGGAGAGTCTATCTCAAAATAAAATCTTAAGAAGGGCTCTGTGCTTTCTGGGTTCAAATCTCAAATCCCAGGACTGTAGTTTAAAAAACCAACAAACAGGGGCTGAGGATTTAGCTCAGCAGCATAAGCACCTGCCTTGCAAGCAGGTGATTGTGAGTTCGATCCCCAGTACCGATTTAAAAAAAAAAAACAACAAACACAGCACTACTACCTCAGAGCTATAAGAAATCTGAGGGTCTAAGTACACATGGAAAATGGAGTCCTTTAAGATTTACTACTTTGTAAACAGGTTTCCTGCAATGAAAGAAGAAGCATTCTTGAAAAAAGGTAATGAGCTGGGATTGTCTCCCTTACTCAGATTCTATTTCCTGTTGCATTTCCCCTTACCAAGAAGGGCAGAATAAACTGTCAAAGCAGGCAAATTAATGATTTTTCATATATGAACAAAAACCTCTAAAATCTGTAGGAGAGCTTAATGTAGCAGATAAGCACCACAGCTATGATAAAACACACCACCCCTCCACCTCCAGGAGACCCATGGTTGCTTGTAACACTGGCTCATGCCCAAGATCAAGCCTGCAACCCTCATGCAGTTCCTTGTAAGTCCCTCTCCGAGGTACCTGGAAACTATCTTACAAGCATGCTACCCTTCACCTGCCCCTGAATAACATCCCATTCAGCTCCCTAGATCCTCAGAACCTGTACTGTCCTAGGACCACCACTTGATATCAAGCCCCCCATGTCACCTATTATGGGCTTTTGGGATTGATGGGTCTGCACTCACTGACTCCCCACACCTCTCTCATTATAGATCCAACTTCCCTCCTATAAAACGCACTTTCAATCATTACAGTGCAGACCCCTTGTTATGAAATTTGGATTTAAATAACCTTTCCAGAGATAATCTCACTGTCCTACAAACAAGTAAGCAATATGGAAACCTGTGTATTACTTATAAAACAAACGAACCTTCAGCACTCCTCGCAATGGGGAAAGCAGGTTCAAGGCTACAGAGATGTATCTGACCACAGTCCTCTCTGAAGCAATGAGAAGGAAGGCATGGAGACTAGCAGCATCCAGAGAGCTGGGCAAGAGCACTGGGGTGGAATTAACAGCCGTGTGAATGTCCAGGGAGAGGAAGGGGCACACACTGGGGACAGGAAACCCTGATGAAGTACAGCTGAGCAAGGTGTGAGAAGTGAGAGGGGTGTGGAAGCAAGATGTGCAGAACAGAAACACGTCAACTGCATTTTGTGTGCCAGGGGAGCCATTTTGTTTTGTTATAGGAATAATGTGACCTGATTTATGTGTTTAAAGGATTTCTCTAACTGCTGAGAGAACAGATGGAGGATATTGCAAAGTGTTCAAGTGAATGACTAGAGTAGTTTATACTAGAGAGGTGACCAAAAATGGAGAAGTGGATATATGAGAAAGGTATGGTTTTGTTTCGTTTGAGACAGGGTCTCACTATGTTGCTCACGTTGGCCTTATATATGTCATTTTTCTGCCTCAGTCTCCCAAGGGCTGGGATTACAAGCTGCTAGGATAATAGGTACCATGCACCTAAAGTGGGCTTTTTAAAAAGATAACTTTTGACATAACAGCATTATGTAGCACACAGCCTCTTACAGCCCCTCTTGATTTTATAAACGACTACAAATTATATGTAATTCTACACACAAGGCTCTAAAGTGGGACATCAGATATAGTCTCTAGATACTTTTATTTCGACTTCAGTTTCTTTTTTGGAAGTCTGAGTTAATCTGATACCTAAAAATCAGAATGTCTCGTTTGTCTCAGGATGTCTCTCATTCTGTGTCTCACTAGATCTGGCAAACACTGGCCCTTGCTTCCACAGCATGTAAGTGGCTGGAGCACAGGCTTTCTAGTTTACCACAACCTTTCTAGTTTACCACAACCAGCACCTTTTACTCATTTGTACCACCTGCTGCAAAGATATTTGTGTTTTGCAATCCTCTAGCCTGGTATCATTTGAGGATACCCCAAGCACTTGCTCACATAAAAGCATCTCAATTAAAACCTTAAAATAGGTTCACCTCAACTCACTTTAACACAAGTTTGATCAATAGATAGCTTTATGTTTCATGTTTCTACTACCCTGTGTCAGGGATCCAAAACCTGAAGATACACGCACTGGGGCAGTTGCACTCAGGTATCACCAATCAGAGAAAACCCTGGTCCTACCGCTCTGATTGGCTCATTCTGCACACCAGGGAGCAATGTAAGTATTGTTAGACTGTAAACTCTCCAAGGACAGGAATGTGTCCCTGTGACACTCCAAGGCATGTAAACAGAACCCAAAAGCAACTCAGTAGCTAGCCATCTTTAAAAACTCTTAACCTGATAACTTCCCTTCCACTAGGAAGAACTGTAAGTAATTCAAGAGGAGAAAATGTCCGTCTTAGGCAGCAAAGGTGGTCTCTAGGGTGCCAGTATGTGCGCTCTTATTTCACATCTTAATTGTTCATGGCCTCTGAAATCTCTCATCTCTACTTCCTCCTCATTTTCTCTCGTCTTCATCCCCACCTCACTTCTACCACTGGCCAGAATAAAAGATACAGGATCAAAACACTTTTAATCTCCAATCTATTTTAAGCTTCAATGATAAGATGCAAGGAATCTGCAGTTTGGGCACCAGAAAATTCACCCATAAATTTACCACCAAAACCCAACAGTGTCATCTTCCGAATGTCTCCATATGCTTGGACCCGGCCCCGCCCCACCAGGTGAGGGACCTGCTCATTTGCAAAAACTGGGTAACAACCTCAGTGAGTTTTCCTGAGTAGAGCTGCATGGCAAAATGCACAGTGCCTGGCACACACTCGGCCTCCCACCGGCGGCAGCCACTGCTAGCATCTGTGTCCCGCTCGGCAAGGTGGGCAGGGCCGCCCTGGGCCTTCGAGCTACAGGAGAGGTACAAGAGGCTCAGTCTGGCTCACTCACCTGCAGGCGCACATTGAGCATCATGGAAGCCACGATGTAGAGGTAGGGGAAGTTGATGCGCAGCCGCCAGGCCAGATCAAAGAAAATGAGCAGCGTGCGTGTCAGCCCCTTGCAGAAGACCCCATAAGAGCGGGCGGCGGCTGAGCGCGAGAGCCGGACAGCCAGGCCCGACAGAACTGCCGCCATATAGAGACGCTCTCCGTGCCCCCCGCCCGCCCTCCCTCACTTCCTCTCCGCGTCTCCCCGGGCCTCCGCCCCCGGCCTCTGGCCCGCACTCTGCGAGCTCAGGGAGCGAGGGAGGCAGGCGTCGGCGAGACCGGCGGGCGGGCGGGGAAGCCGAGTCTGCGCGTCACGCTCAGGGAAGCGCCTCTACGAGCCGCCGCCCGCTTGCCTGCCCGGGCGTGCGGCGTGATGTCACAAAAACCCGCTCTGCGCCTGCGCGGCCTTCAGGCCCCGCCCCCGGCTCAGTCCCCTGCTGCATTCCCACAGGAAAAGTACGCATGCGTGGGGCGTGGAAAAACGACCAATGTGTTATCTCCTGATGCCCTCTACTGGTGAGTCCTAGAAACAAAAAGAAGAGGTCAGAGGCGTGGCTGCAAGACAAAGTGAATGTATTTTATGCCACTGAATTATACAATTAAAATCGTTACAGTTGTAAATTTTATGTGTGTTACTACAATTTTAAAAAAACGAAAAGAAGCTTTTGGGAAGAAGTCTAATCCATTCTCCCCATGTGGATTACTTAGGGTCTGAGCTGTTCATGTTGTCATTATATATAGTTTAACCTTTTAATAATTATAATATTAACTAAAGCCCTCGATGTAAAAGTAGTTAAACTTCACAAACTTCTGGTTGTTGTTTTTGTTTCATTGTGGTACAGGGAATTTTTAACTTTTTAAAGTTAAGTTTAATAGTACATGTGTAGAGCGCATAATGCACTGCATTCCTTGTGGGAAGTTGGTACGTGCACATAACACATCTTAATTCATATTTCATCCCCTCCCTCTCTCCTTCCCTTTCCATTTGCGAAAGATCTAGCTGTCTACTTCTATCATCTATCTCTTTTTTATCTTTATTTATAACTTGGGCTTCTCAATAAAAGAAACGATGCAATGTTTAAATTCCTGTGTCTGATTTATTTCACTGAACATTATGGTCTCAAGTGTATCCATTTTCCTAAAAATTACTTGAGTTGATTTTTATAGTAGAGCAGTCCATTCATCTATTGATGGACATATAAGCTGCTTCCTTTTCCAAAATGTAGCTACTGTAAACATGAGTTTGTATACATCACTGTAATACAAAGCATTTCACTCTTATGGGAGGATACCTAGAAGGGGAATAGCTAAGTTAAATGGAATTTCTAGTTTAAGGAATCTCCATGCTGATTTCTGAAGTGGTTGTACTAGTTTACATTCACACTAACGATGTAGAAGGTTTCCTTCTCTCCTCCCCCAAAGCCTCTCTAGCACTTGTCATTTGATTTCTTCATGCCCATTCTTTCTGGGATAAAACAGAATCTCAGCGCTGTTGTAATTTGCATCTCTCAAATGGCCAATGAGGTTGAACATTTCTTCATGTATTTATATTTCCATTTGTATTTCTGTGGTGTCTATTTCAGTTGCCCATTTTTTGATTGGGTCTTTCTTGGGGGAGGACTAATTATTTTAGTTCTTTATATAATATTTTAGATATGAATCCTCTGTGGAGTAGCTATTTATTTATTTATTTTTTTGTCTTTTTGAGACAAGGTTTCACTGTGCAGTTGAGACTGGCCTTGAACTTACTTTGTAGCCCAGGCTGGCCTTGAATTTGCATTGATCCTCTTGCTTCAATCTCATGTGCTAGAATTACAAGCATGCACCACCATGCCCAGCTATAAAATTGCTACTCTTTTGGTTGCCTTTTCACTTTGTGGATTGTTTCTTTTGCTTTACAGAAGCTTTTGAATTTAATATGATTCCATAACGTGATTCACAGAACTATTTCCTGTGCAACTGGGGTTCTATTCAGAAAGTCCTCTCCTATGCCTATGACTTCCAGAGTTTTATCTATCTTGTCTTCCAGCAGGTTAAATGTTTCTAGTTTAACATTTACTTCTTTGATATTTGTGGTACAGGGGATGGAACTCAGGGCTTTCACACTGACCAACACCCCAGCCTTTTTAAATTTTGAGACAGGGTCTTCCTAAATTGCTAAATTTCCCAGATTGGGCTCAAACTTACAGTCTTCCTGCCTCACCCTCCCAGGATGCTGTGATGTATACCACCACACCTAGATTTTTGTTTGGGTTTTTTAATGTAGATTTTACATTGCTACTTGGAGATCTAAGTTTCTGCTAAAATTTGCCATAGTACTCATAGGTGAAAAAAATAAGACACATGTATAAACACTATATTATCTCACTAGTATGAGAAGCTGAAAGAAACAACATATGTACATGTGTATGTATATAAAAATAATGAAGATAGTTACACTACTGATTTCTCCGAGTTCACTGAAGAGAAAGATTTGTGCTGATATTTTTCAGACAATTGAATGCACATGTCTTGTGCTCTGAGTGAATGATTTGGGTATAACGATGTGCAATATATGTACCATTGTTGCCTCCTGATTGATGTGTTTTGAAATTTTGTTTTCCTTCTCTCTCTCTCTCTCTGTCTGTCTCTCTTTTACCAGAGATCTAACTCACAACCTCACTATATTTTTATATTTTTCTCTTTGAAATAAAATGGATTTTAAAAAAAGATTTGCCACAGTATGAAGACACCTCACTTCCTTCTAGTTTCAGATGAAATATTTCATGCCTTACTACTGCTGCCTATCAATGAGAAGGTCTGGGAATTTGGTACAAGTTAGAAAAAAAAAGAATTTCATTGATAATTGTCCCCTAAGAAACTGATAGCAGAAAGCAAGCATGTAAAAAGTAGACTTATTTCATATTGAAATCCTTGATCCCCAAATAGATTTGCAATAATAATTATTTTTTAAATCACTTTGTAAGTCTGACATGGTGGTGCATGCCTGTAATTCCAGCACTGTGGGAGGCAGAGGCAGGACAGCCTAGACAATTAGGGTAGCAAGAAACTGTCTCAAAATAAAAAATAAAAAAGAGCTGGAGATACAGTTCTGTACAAAGGCCCTGGATTCAATCCCCAGAACTTCCTCACCACCTCTAAAAAAAATTCTTAGTACCACAAAATAAATAAAAATTCATTTAAAAATCTTTCATAAATATCTTTATTCAGCCAGGGATATAGCTCAGTGGCACAGCACTTGCCTGGCAAGCACGAGGTCATGAGTTTGATTTCTGGTACAAAAAAATCCTTATTCAATAAATCATATGTTTCTACTATCTCATTATGACTTTATTATCATTTTCTTTAACTGTCTACTCTATAAAAATAAGGATCCCTTTTGGTGCTCGGTAATATATTTACTATCCCTTGTGTTTCAGGACAAGGTCATATTTAATAGGTGTTTCAGGGTTTTAACTTTTGGCTACCTTTATTGTTATTAAAATGATAATTTTCACCAGCCTTTAGCTTCCTTTCTTTTTACGATATTCTTGCCACATTTATGGTTGACATTAAAAGGCTCACTTCCTTTTTTTAAGCTATTTTTTACTTTCTGTGCATACTGGATGCTGTCCTTGAGTGCTGCAAAACACAGACTGCTGAATTACTGTTGTTTTTCAAGCTAACCCCTTAAAAGCAGCAAAACGAATGCGTCTTTAGGGCTTATTTAAGAAAGTCACTTAAAGATATTAAAGGCCGGAGTCTGCAGTGGAAATTTTTTAAAGAACACAGAAGCAACTTGGCAGTGAGTTAACAGGGACCACTGAGATCAGCTGAATTTATTCTCAGGCTTGTAAAGATTTTCACTGGTGGAAAATTGGCAGTCCTGTTCATTTGAACGCTTATAAGACCAGATGGGCTGGGCTCTGTGAGAGATACGTGTGTTCATATATTTCCTCCTTGGTTACTCCTTCCTTGGTCTCAAAATGCCACTGAGGCCATGAGGCCTTTTAACAAGCCATTCACACAACGGGGCACAAAATTACCACGAAGCTACACTGAGCTGGGTAAGAAACTTGTGATAATCAGACACAATAAAGGTCAGAGGCAAGATTTTTTTCAGGTCTCAGATAAAATAGGATTGGGCTGGGAATGTACTTCAGCAAGAGGGCACTTGCCTAGCATGTGTGAGGCCCTAGCTTTGACCCCACCATCAGCGGGGAAACACACATAACAGAGTTAACTAGTTCAAAGCTATAATACAACTGGTAAACTCGTCTAGGCTTAGCCAGGCACTGTGGTTCTTGCCTGTAATCCCAGCACTTCGGCAGGCTGAAGCTGGAGGATCCCAATTTAGAGCCTATCCAATGCAATTCAGTGAGATGCTGTCCCAAAATAAAAATGGCTAGGCTGCAGCTCAGTGTGAAGGCCTTTGCTTCAGTCCCCAGTACTGACAAAGCAAATGAAAATTTAGGCTCAATTAAAATTTTTCAGTGAAAATCTAGGCTTGAAACAACATGTAACTCGGTGGCAGTTCATGAGCCACCTCTAGGATGAGAAATAAATTGAGACAGAAATCAGTGTGCAAAATCCTTTATTTTTTGACAGCCCAGGCTGACCTAGAATCCTCAGCAACTTTCCTGCCTCAGCCTCCCAAGTGCTGAGATTACAGGCATGCACCACCATGCCTGGGGGAAATTACTTTCATTGAGGCACAAGCACTTTGGGAAGAGATTGATAGGAAAATAATTTTATGAGCAAATGCTCAACAGGACCTTCTGCTTTGCTGGCAGCGTCCCTTCTGCTAGCCGAGCTCTGTCCCAGGTGAGGATGATCTGGTGAGAAAACAGGTTTCAGATTCAGCAACATATCAGGCTCCTGTGACCTGGTTCTGGAAAATGAGGAAGAAGATGCTCATCCTCGGGCCATTTGTGACAAGTAAATGTAGTGCTGGGCACAGCCCCAGGGAGATAGAGGCCATCCAGAAGGTGGTAGCTATTTTCACATTCAGAGGTCTAGAGTCTTAGAATGCAAGTTAGTGGCTGCATTAATACAGTAGTCCTTATGGAGCCTGGTGCGGTGCACGCCTGTAATTCCAGCACTCTGGGAGGCAGAGGCAGGAAGATCTAGCTCAACCTGTGCAATTTAGCAAACTAGCGAGATGCTGCCTCT